GTGCCTGTTGTACGCTGATCTAAGGAAGACGTTGTTAGATAAGATCCGGGCACGGACGGGACTTACCAACATCACTGACTACGACGCCGTCATGTCGGACTCGCAGGCCACCCACTACGTGGCTGGATTCATGTTGCGAACAGGCCTACTGGGTCAATTCCATCAGGTGGACGTTGAGCCAGGCCCAGAGGACGATGAAACGACTAGCCAGGACGAACTGGCAAGGGAGTAGGTAGTGAAGACGCTGGGTGAGGAACGCCGACACCCGAGGCCTACCGAGAGGTCTTGGAAGAATACATCCAACACGTTAGCGGACAACGATCGTCACCAATCGAGAACGAAGCAGGAAAAGACAGACCGCTATGCGAGAAGACGGAAGAGAGAAAGACGGGTGAGGATGGCAGTTAAACTGAGAGGGTCCTGAAGAGGAACCAGTGGGATTTCGATTACTGCGGGATTTGGGTACGATTTCTGGGCTGATTGTATAGGGTAAAGCGCGATTTTCCTTTATATCTGTCGTCTACTACTCATGGGCTAGCGTTTGGATTACTATTGCTTCCGACGGAGGGGAGCGCCTGCATAGCCATTACGCCACTAGTTAGGCTGTATTAGGGTTAATAGAGTATTGAGTGGTTGATTGATTGATTGATTGATTGGAACTATCTTAGCAACGTTAGAGGGATGTATAGATATTTCGTCATGAATTGTGATGTAAGTATAAGGTTCCCGTATTGTGAATGAACGACTAAATAAACTATTCTGCTCCTCTTCTTGACTTTGTACTTTAGAGTCTGCTTCCTATTATGGACTTTGGCCTAGGGAAGAAAATATGCCACCGAAGTCACTGTAGCATAGCACGTTAAGAGTCCTAAATTCTTATGAAAAACGCGTAGAAACCTACCGAGGTAGCTAGAAGACGAGAACAATAGCTAGATTCGTGAAAGATATTATAAATTGACAAATCTTCCTATGTCTAATCATCCCTGTTCCGCTTTATCGCCTACTTAACCTATAGTCCTATCTGTGCTTTAGATCCTAGAGTTTGTTACTAGGCTGCCGAATACCATAACACCATTTGCGTGATCAGTTAAGGGGCTAGTCGTGATAGATGATTTACCATTTATATTTTATACGCGGCGGTCAGATAAAGAGCAATTAGAGCACCGCTTAAACGCCGTGTTTTAGAGATTCTAAGAAAAACCACCGGGAAGTCTGTTATACTCCGTAAGATGCTCTAGATAGGAAATCACGGCGGCTAGGTATTGTGCTCCTATAGGACCTTCGCGTAGGAAAAGTATACGGAATAGCCGACAATCACATCCCTAAGTCCTTTATAGAAGATGCACTTACCCGCCCTTCACGTTTTGAGATGTGTCCAGCTACTGAAGCAGTGCAGAAGACTCAGGTATCTGCATCTTGTTTTTGATGACGACCTCCTGTCCACAACTCCGTGTGAAAAATTCAAATCTGAGTTGGGCATCCATCCGGGAGCTTTCTTCAATTCAGGGGATACAACTGGTCGAGCTTTGGGATTTGATGGAGAGCCTCTAGATCGGAAACTTGATTGTGCTAAGATTCCATTGCCTAGACGCGGAAGGGGGAAAAGTAAGTTGCACCTTGTTATAAATCCTCGGACATTTAGAGCATAGTATCGGTAACGACTCTTGAAAATCTTGTCGAGAAGGACAAATTTTACGCCAGATATCCCAATGCTCGGGCAAGCTCGCATCTCTATACGTCAGAAATGCGGCGAGGATTCCGTGGACTGATGTTTCGTGCGGAAAGCGATCAAAAATTCTCTAGGGACGCAGTCAATTGCGAGCATTGTTGTTATAGGAACGGCAATCATGGTCTCATTCGTCTATATAACATGCAGATCATTTAGCTACTGTCCAAACGATGCTAGAAGACACCCCCGGGTGTCGATTGTTCGGGTCGCGATCATTCCCATACCGCGTCCAGGAAATCTCGACGGGGCGACGCCGCTGATTTGAATACCATTAGACAATGCCCATTGCAATGTGATGATGCTTGGGATCAGACTCTTCGTACCTGGCCATTTTTGGAATCGAGCGATGCACCCTGCAAGGTCTTTATCCCACACTTAGTAAGCTCTACTCCCATCCGTTTTGATATGCTTAAACCGTATCAATATACCTTGTTAATCATTATATGGACGGCGAAGTGTGCATTTCAGTTTGCTGAGTGGCTCACATGAGGCTGGGGGAGGTTTATTCCAAAATAGAATCCACACGAGGTAGGAGAGACTTGCATCCGTAACCCTCGTACTTGGTCAATGGTAAATCAAGCCCAAATGCGCAACTGAGATGAGAACAGCCGACCGCTTGGGAACCGGAGGTGCCGGTTAGGGTCTTCCAGGCGTGAAGAGTCGCCCCTATGGGCGGAAGGCAGGACGGCCGAAGTGACTGCCACTCTAAGCTGTGCGCCGGTTCCCGTAGGGCGATTAAGGGACTGCTTGGACTCAGTCAATTACCGATGGTGCTGTGTCTGAACCTTCTGGGCCATCTAAGTACCATGCAGGGCATCTGGTAGTCCTTGGTGGTTGATATTCTAATAATGGAAGAAGGTGAGGCACAAGTGGAAGTTGTAGCAGGATGAAATCCGGGAAGTGAACCGAATCACCTACACCCATATGACTGCACACAATCACTCGTGTGAATTCAAAGTTTATATACGCAGGCTACACCGGCTCCTCACCATCACCACCCACGAAATGCATTTATTACCTCACTCCAACCACCTAACTAATCCGTGATCTATATCAATGATCTCCCACACATAACCTAGCACATACGACCATAGGGTGTGGAAAACAGGGCTTCCCGTCCGCTCAGCCGTACTTAAGCCACACGCCGGTGAGTTAGTAGTTGGGTGGGTGACCACCAGCGAATCCTCACTGTTGTATGTTTCTTTTTCTTTTTGGTTTCTCTTTTATCGCATTCTTCAGGCTAATTATCGATGCCCTCAGCACTCAAGCGCCAAGCTCCACTTTAGAGTGAGCATGGCTGATATGGATGGGAAGTCTGGAGACCGAGTGGAGAACTGGGTGACAATTCTCACCTACACCCGTCCTAAGCAAAAGATATGTAAAGTCAAGCCCGTCGGCCGTTCTTTTGCTCTACTATGATTGCTTTAATTTGCTTTATTATTACAGTGACATCGCCAGGTTGGAAATGCAGCGGTATGCCACCACGATGCCATCACGCTCAATAACTTGGGTACAGGTCGCGTCGACGGTATCCAGATCTTGGGAATTTTTAGTCTGAGCCGGAGACCAGGGTTTTAGAATCTGATACAAAGGCAATGCAAAGTATCTTCCGCCTCTTTATCATCTTTCGCATCTTCATCGAGGGTCCGTTTGTAGGTCAAAGTTTCCCAGACTTGGATTCTGTCTTCAGAACAAAAAAAGCGGCGCATTTACCATCCGGGGATAGCGCCATCTCCTTGATGGGGCAGAAGTAAAGGTATCTCTGCAGCCCCCAGTAGCAACATTGAAAAGTCGTACTTGGTTCACTATAGCCGCAATAAGAACTTCGCCATCTGGTGAGAACGCAATAGGAAGCCCGCCATAGATACCAGAGAAGCGATCATCTAAGGCTAATCCATGACTGATCTTGAATTCTTGACCCAGACACCGATAGCCACATCCCACCATTGCACAATTTCTGTATTTTGGTAAAAGTTCGTTGGTATGCGAAGCAAACAATCTACCATTAGGGGAGAAGACAAGCTGTTCTGTTCCATATGCACAATAAAGGGTTTGAAGGCAAGAGTCCCATTGATCTGGACGCCTGTTAATTTTCCGATACAACAAAGTCTTTGCCCCAGAACCGAGTCTTCATTTGGCTCTTATTTGGACTGAAAATCAGTGCACCTCCATATATCTGCAGCGGTACTTTTGTTATGTTTGACAGATTTCTCCTGATGAACCTTGTCAGTGTCGTCAAGAAAGCCAGAATGCTAGGACTTCATAGAACTCTCATTTGGTGCCAACTAAGCCTGTTAGTATGTCCGCATAACTTTTGGTTACAACAACATACCTTTGTTCGGCTGTACCTACCTGGGTAGTACTCACGGCATTATTCATGAGTATTGATCGGAGAACAGAAATTTTTTAGCACCTCGCCGGGGCCACATATTGTCCGGATTCCTGCACCCCTATCGTCTATGGGTCGTGCAAAAGTCGAGAACCCCCCCCCTCGCACGTGTCACTAGAGCCAGTCCCTCCCGACTGCAGCGTCAAACCAAGATCTCCCGTGCCACAATTCCCCGGAAAGGACTCGAAAAAGACAGAAGAGAGAACACAATTCGAAAATAACTATCCCTGAGACATTTACGAAAGATGTGTATCGCTTGAAAGAACATCCACTTCTATTCTTTAGAAGACGGTAGTACAATTGATCTTGACAATTTACCGCTTGCGCGACCTTGTAAGTACCTAATAAAGGTGAATAGACGAAGAGAATCTGGCACAATCCGCTCAAGGTCCCTTAAAGTGATGTATCACCGATTTGAAAGACAGGTTATATATCGATCAAATGCGTCCTAACAACGTGGAGAGGATGGCTCACATAATTTTGAAGTCAGGTTTAGTAAGTAGTGACTTGGAAAGTATCACGCGTCGAGTGGCCGAGTGGACAAATGAAGGGAGAAGAATCAATACGTTATCTTAAGACATAGGGTGTGGAAACCTATTGTAAGCTCTCCATATTGATAATCCCACCGGAGCATCAACTTCAACATATGTAGTGTGAGAGGAATACCACTGAGTCGCCCAAAAGGCAGGAGGAAGTCTGGCGTCTCAAGATTCGTGGGATGAATGTTGAGGGTACGGAAAATCTAGCGAATGTCTTGTTCAGCAAACTCTGGGAGTAGATTGAAGATTGGATATCTCGGAATACTCACTTCACCAGAATAGGCCAAGGTCAGTAGCGATAGACACCTTTGCTGACGTGCGAGGTGAACACTTTAGTATACAGATGAATACGATTCAAATGCTTGGTAGTCCAAACATTGTGTATATTTGTTACGATCTCTTCCTCGACGAGTGCGATGAACGAATTCGGACCGAGATTTCCGAGAGTGTTACTAAGCGACCAATCCATCAGATTACTCAGAAGGGGAAGGTTTATATTATGCGGAGGGATGAGCGGTTGGACGTAAAGGTGGCTCAACGTTACGTGCACATGAGTACCGTCGATAAAGGACCACGACCCTTCTTTTCTGATTTGAAAGATCCACCTTTTTATAATGAGCATGGGCGACGTATCGAGAGCTGGGAGGAGGGGTATGTGCCGGTAGCGGCTATGCTTCGAGAGGAGAGGATTCGAGATGAGAGGAGAGGGCAAGAAGAACTAGATGATAACAAGAGGCTAGATAAACAATAATTGGCAACACGGCTAGCGTTTAGACGACGAGACACGATTCTACTGGCACTGATCTTAAGCCTAAGCTTCTATATGTTGCTTTTCAACATGATTTCGACATGATGCCTGGTATATACGACCGTAAGGGCGTGAAGAACATGGCCTGCGTCCGTCTTGCTAGGGTAGGTAAGCAATTCCGAGAATTACCTGCCCACAGAGATTAGTTGCTGAATCTATTTGGAGTTATGGTTAAAATAATTGGAAATTGCTAGTATGGGCCATATAACGTGTCCTAGTTTGTCTAATGCGAAATTGAACATTGCTTATAGTTTAGGATTTATTCCCAGATGACGTGGCTATGCACTAAAGTATGCCTAGGAGAGCTCCGCGGTTGTTGCGTCTCTTCCATCCATATTTATCTTTTTCTTGTCCCTGGTATAAGATCAAATCCGTTGTCGCTCAGCTTTAAGCCTTCCCTCTCCTTAAAACACGAAACCTTTAACCGGGAGATTCGCCCACACTGTAATTTTATCCTGAGATGACGAGGGTTCAACCCTGACATTCCGGTTCGGAAAGTCTAGATACTTCAAGGGCTGCGGCCAAGCCGTGTCAGTTGCCACAACCAGTCCCCCAATATACAACTCTGCGTGGATCGTGAACGCATCTAGGTTCTTGTAGTCCTTACTGTGGCAAGTCGAAAACCCCTTCACACATTGATTTGCGAAGATCTCTGTTGTAGCATTCAGGTTTGTGAGTGTCGTGATATTGATAGTATGACTAACCAGATTACTCGTCTATATAGAAATGAACTTAAGGTTTACCTCCTCAACCTCGACTGCCTCCTTGCAGTTACTCGCAATCCATAATTCGAACTGGCATGAGTTGGTAGACGTCGGATCGGCATGACCCGAGGTCCACACCGGGTAGCTACGAGATGTACCCACATCTAGTGGCCTCAAAGCTCGAAATATGGCGTAGAGTGTAGGCTACTTGGCCAAGTAGTAATCAACAATGGCCCACGAGATTGTTGGCCAACAATCGTTCACCTGCCACACAAGCACACCGCCGCATCCTCGAGCCCCTAGTCGTCCCAAACACCGCCTCCACGCCTTATAGTGCATCGTTTCAGCTTGGAGTACCTGGGTGATGTGGGTGAAGGATGCGAGATCTGATGGCATAATGAAGTTCTCGGCTATATACGTCATCAAGCGGCACTCATAATCACCGGCTTTGTTTAGGAAGTCCATTATTATTGAGCCAGGGTGCTGTTGCTGTGGGTCGGTGATGACCCGGCGAAGGGACTCGACGTGAGGATAGACTTCAATTCCAAACTCGCTCACGAAACGCCCGATAAGCTTAGTAGAATCTTGATATCTGATTATTTGGCCGTGCTATACTACATTTTCTTAGAATGTTATCTTTAAATCAAACGCCGTCAGAGTACTCACTATTCCACTAGTGAATATTACCCACAGTTGGGTCTGTTGTGTGTGTTTGCCATCGCCCTAAGGGCTTCTAGGGTGGTATATTTTGTATAGGTCCTCTTCTTGCACCCATTTTGGCAGCAAATACTCATAGATATACCGCGCCGGAAATGTCGACTGTCGCCAGGACTCTGGATCAGTGTTTTGCTGGTCATACTCAAGCTTATACCTCTCCTGGACTTGATAGTCCTCGTTGTTTCCGGTCTAGATTACCACAGATGGGTGGGATCGTAACGTCCTAATGTTTTGTCGTGCCTCTTCCTTAATGGATTTAAGGAGGGATAGGATGGGTAACTGCCGCAGACGAAGGCAAAGTCGTTCCAGACCAGGATGCCTAATGTATCGCATGTTTCCATGAAGGCATCGTCTTTATAGGTTCTGCCGTCCAATGCACAAATCATTATTTGATTGGAATCCACCATGAGCTTCATCCAGTCGAGATAACGATTCTTGGATACTTGTGTAAGATAACTGCCGGTAGGAATCCAGCACGACCCACCGGCAAATATATCGAACCGTTGATGAACACGGAATTTGTAACTCAAGTGTCTTTGATTGGTATAGAGAGGATATTCCAGCCTTGGTTCTGATCGGTATCTTTATTCTGGGATTTGCCGGGACCTGTGTATTGAATCCCCGTAACCCAATATACAACCGTCATATACCAAATCATGTCTTCAAAATCAACATCACGCCATCCAGCACCCAATTACTGCCAGTAACGTATCTAGCCCGGGACTGCATAGGAAGATTATAACATCGCGAACCTCCTCAGTTTGTGCAATTCGTTCCAAGGGAAGTACGCTCTCCATGAGTGAACTCGACCTATTGTTGCCATTCACAGCCGTAACTATCGGGGTATATACCCAAGAGGGACAAATGGTGTTCACACGCACTCCCTCGCTGGGACCCAGCGCTGGATATCTCAGGGGCTGTCATCCTAATTATTGAGGTAGCTGCTTTTGCTAAGTTAGCTTAAAATGGCTCTCCTCAAACGTACTAGCTTGTAGCTTCTACTCACGTGAAAATCTGCCGCTGGATGTAAAGGCTGGTACATCGCTCATGTATATTTCAGGTAATTGGTCTGCACCGAAGTAATCCCTCGCTTCTGAAGGTTGCCACACTGGTGTGTATGGAAAGCTCGTAGTGTCAGATGGCTCGCCGTAGTAGAAAGGGATTTCGTTCGGAGTAGATGTGGCTGTTTTGATCCCAGACATTGTGACAATCAATGGATCAGTTAGCGGTTGTAAGGGAACTTGATATATGCACACGTTTCTCGAGCCAGGACAGGTATTGGCAATGCTGTTGCTCGCAGTTCTATCCATCGGAGGATTCCAATCCAGTTGCATGGGAGATGGTTGTATGGGGGAGGTATCGTCTGCACTTGGCATGGTCAGGTCTCCAGTCCTGTCAGGGTCTACCTGCTCTGTTTCGAATGGCCTCTTTTCCTCCCCAAGGGAACCCTTGCGGGGTAGTCGCAAGGCAGGGGTAAAGGCCTGTACACTAGACGGTTCACGCACGCAGGGTTCCCCGCTGTCGGCACATGTGGAACAGGGGTAGTTGGAATCACATTTCTTTTTACGACGGCGACATGTCTGGCATGCTGAGGGTGTCCTTTTTGCCGGACATACACTATGCTGGAGCACATGTCGATTCAAACTGTCACTGTCGGATCGATCAGCCAATCCTCCACAGCCAAGATGCCAAGCGGCGCTCTTACCTCCTGGCAAAGCTTCGCCCACAAATGCAGCATTTATGTCGAGAGGAGTTTGTATGTATGGCCATATGACGATTAAGATGCTCTTTGCGTAGAAAGGATTTACGACAGTCGGGATCTGTGCAGACAAAGGGACCCGACGAGACGGGGGCTCGACGGGAAGATGGAAATGCCATATTCTTCTTTGAGGGAGGCGACCAGGGCGATCATGGGCGGCTCAACTATCATGGGTGGTGGGTGGATCAGGATCAAGGAACTTCCTGCTTGTGGAGCGAGACAATTGGGGGTGGAGAGGGAAAGAAAAGCCCGACGAACAGTCTTAGCATCTGCGGGGGACATCCAAGGTCTTAAAAAACGGGGAATTTCGACGGTGATCTCTACCCTGGGCCGAATACAACCTCAATATCCCGCTCTATGACGGAAACAAGCAGGCTTAGAGTCAAAAGGTTACACCTGCAGATGGATTCCCATCAGCGATTGGCCTCCAAACCTATGGGGTCACTGCACAGGGAAAGCATCGCCTGCCAAGCATCGGAAAGTCTCCGATGAAGACTTTTCGCCAAGCGCAGCCTCATTCTTAGATCCAACAAGCTCCGAGGCCCGTGTTAGTGGAGCTAGCTGGATACATATATGTATGATGCAGGGTCCATATGGCGGGGAGGATGTAAGACCACTCGTTTTCTTTCTCTTCTCCTCCCTCTTCCTCTCTTGTTGGCTTATCTCTGTTCCGTCTTTTCCGATAGCAACTCAAGCTTCATTTCGTTGCTTCTCTCTCTAGATACGGCGGTCCCTAGGGGTTCCCCTTATCTGCGACTTGGCGCCACCCACCTGCCACTGCCAGCGTCTTGCATCTCCAAGGCCGTTGATTTGCTGTCAAATCCAGGGATTCCAATCCTTTCGAGCAATTACGGCCGACGGCTAGTGCGACCTGCCCAATTGCCTCTGCTTAAATTGCGCCGTTGACTACGTTAGTATACGCTCCACTGTGAACATTCCAGAACGGTGTACTCCGTGAACCTTCACCGAAGAGACGTGCGCTAGTCGCTGACTGGCTATGGTATGTCTTGACACTAATCTATTATGCAGGTAAGCGGCGACAAGGTACACGGGTTGATATTATCTGCAGAGCACTGTCATTTCTCTGAGGCCCACGTGTATGTCTTCCATCCCGAAAGAGACCCATGTGAACCTTCGAACACGAAGCACAAATACCAGTGGCTTTTTCGGGCAGTAAAATGGCCGTGAGATTGAGATTGACGGTTGATCACGGAGAGAAAAGGCCCGTGCACTAAGCCCTAGACATCGCGGATAGCCCCGGCTGTACTTTGGATCGCGATGATTAGAATACCTCAGCTAAAGGCATATATACTGTCATGGTAAAAAAAAAACGAATACGAGTGCAACTGCTTGACCGCAAGGTCTCCCTGAATCCTCGGGAGGAACCGCCTAACCTGCGACCTCAATTTATTCATCTCGCAAAATCTTCTAGCTGGGCAGTCTATCGATTAAATCTGGTATCTAGTACGTAGAGCTATACGCCTCGGCCAAATTTGTTCTTTCCTCCACCCGACTTGCCCTTGAAGGCCTCTTCAATCTCCCCAAAAGTCCGACCTTTAGTTTCATGCATGAAGATGACGCCAACAACGACTGTGATAACACAACATCCACCGAACAAAAAGTACGCACCGAAGCTGCTCCTTGCAAGCAGGACAGGTGTCGTCAAAGCCACCAAGAAGTTGCACACCCAATTACTCGAATGAGCCAATGTGGTAGCCGATGCTCGCGTTCGCTGGGGCTGAATCTCAGCGCTGTACACTTTGACGGAGATACCCCAGGTGACAGAGTAGAGAGCGGAAAAAAGGTAGATGCAGACAATCACAACCCAGCGGCCGGCACCGGTGGTTTTGTGCACGGCATTTCCAGCATAAAGACTGCCCATCAAAAACATCAAGATCCCCATTACAACCCCGCCGTAGATAATGCTGCTTCGGCGGCCCCATTTATCGGCATAAATTAACCCCGGGATAGTGACCGCGAAGATCACAAGCGCTGAGACACCGGAGGCCAGAAAACTTGCTTCCGAAGAGGCAAGACCGGCCTTTTGAAATAGTTGTGGAGCATACTATCGATTTCACGTTAGCCACTGTCAGTTGTACCAAGGTGCGGAAAGGGCCTGAGCGTACATAAAGGACGCCATCAATACCACTCATCTGCTGCATGCCCATCAAAAAGACTGCGAGGATGGTCCGGCCCAAAACATCTTTGGAGAAGATAGCAAGAAGCTTATCTATGGTTCCATCTTTGGCCTTCTCAGTCTCAGAGTCGACTTCCTGTGTCCGCACTTGCAGAACGACCTTTTCACGCTCTGCGCGGCTGACGCCCAGTTTGTCCCATGCCTCTTCGGCGAGTGCATAGCGACCATGAATTCCTAGCCACTGAGGCGACTCGGGTAAATACAGAAGCGAAAGTCCACAGAGGATCATAGAGAAGGCGGCAAGCAGGATAAACGGCGTGCGCCATGAGAGTGACGAGTGGAGACCTGAGGTTCCATAACTGATGAAATACCCCATGACCAACCCCAGGGTAATAGCCAGTTGAGGGCCAGTTGTCAAGGCGCCTCTAGTGCTAGTTGGTGAGATTTCACAGATCAAGACGACAAGATTTCCAAGGAAAAGCCCTTCCCCGATGCCTTCCACGATGCGGCCAACGATGAACATGGATAGGGCGACGGCTCCGGCTTCTATTGCGGCCCCTGCGCCGAAGATGAAAACGCCGATGCAGATCCCCTTCGGCCGACCAAGCCGATCGGCGACATAGCCAGCAAAGAAAGAAGAGAGCGCTGCCGGAATCAAGATGCATGAGACTATAAGGCCGTGGATCGTGGAGTTTTGACTACCAAATGACTTTTTGAAGTCCTTCATGTCGGTCACCGGGCCGATAATACCCGTATCCATCCCGAAGAGGATTCCATTCGCTGAGCATAGAATGCATGCTAGCATATATTTCGGCGGATTTTTGAATTGCAGGGGAGGTAACCCCATTACTTCGGCTTTGGGGTTTGGCCGACAGGTCTGAGAAGATATTATTCAAGGGCTCGGCTTGTTGAAGGAGAGAAGAAAAAACGCCCTTCCAAAAATAATAAGCAGAAAAGAAAACTCTTACCCCTCTGGAGATTTTGTTTCCTAATGCCCAGACCCACGTAAGGCAGTCATTATACAATGTACTTGTATGAACCCATTCATTCTGTTCAACTACAATAATTGTCCATTACTTCTACGTATCATGACTCTTGTACTTGCAAAATTTGACCAGCTGTGCAAAACTAAGAGTTATATTGCACATCCCACACAAAAATTTGTGAAGGACTAAACCTCGGAGAAGGGTCCTCCGAGATTGTATCTGACTCTTCACGGGCCGAATCGACGAGAGGAACGAGCGAAGATTTTGTGGGCCGTCTTCCAATTACTATCTCGGGGTATCTCCTGGTTCCCCTCGTTTGTGAATTTTTTATGGGGCTTCCGGGGTTTAACCGGTCATTTTTATGGGGCTTTTGAGATTGATTTAAGAAAGTCGGCTCTCAAAGGAGATGCCAAGCCGGGCCCGGTTATATGGATAAAATCTATGGATGCCCGTGGAATTGTAATATATTTCGCACTTCCGATTAGTCTTACTATACACTTATCGATGATAACGAAGGTAGTAGCTTTTTAACTACCTAGGTATGTATACCGACCAAGTAAGTTAAGTAGTAAGCCCTTAACTAGCACTAGTACTAGCTACGCAATAGCAACGTATATGACCAAATTCAAGTTCCTTTCCCGCAGCCTTCGGAGGCTTCGCCTTTTTATCCTTTGTTTTCCTTTCAAACTTATCCTCTACGAAGCGTAACAGTTTTAACGATAGTTTGAACTCAATATGGCTGCTACGGATAAACAGTGCTCATTTTCTACATCTCTTATGTCATCGATGGTCGGGCTAGTCATTGGAGTATTCATCTACCTTCTATTTCTGATATGAAGCAAGTTGTCAAGAGCTATATCACACGGCGACGAGGCCTACACTCGGATACAGATACGAATTATGAAAGTAATTTGGGTGAAAATGCGCGCAATACTCTTCCCACCCTCGCCTACATCCCAGCCATCACAACCGTAACGATCATGCCTGGACACGCTATTTCTGATATGAATCGGGATATTAAGTTCCAAAGCATGAATTTTCAGGAGCTACATAACCTTGAAGCTGCAATACATCCGAATCATACCGGCTAATCGCATTCGATCGATCGCGGGCGTGACGAGGGCCACGCAACCTTTCAGGTTGAATTTTCATGCACTTCACTAAAGATAGCTCTCTCTCTCCTTCTTTCCCTCCTCTGTTCTCTCGATAGCTGGCCATAGAGATCGCCTTGCTGCTTCTCTCTCTCTCTCTCTCTTGCGCTCTGCTCGCCGACAGGTTCTGAGCCCTTGCTTGAATCAACAGGATCTGAGCACTTTGCTTGACTCGACTCGACTCGATCTTTCGTACTTGAGACTCCATCAGATCTTGATGAGATTAACGGTGATATCATCCCTTTGACCTGCTCGTGACTAGATGCTACAAGCAATCCAAACATTGAGAACACCAGTGTGATAGGGTATTCAAGTACTTTACTCGTATTTTGCTCTTCTAGGTAAAAAATGAAAACAGGTCATTCAAAAGTAGATTCACCACCTCTCCTATGTGGGAATTGGGTTTGTTCATTATGTCAAACAACAAAGCTGGCCTGGATTCGTTGTCGTGAGCCTTTGTTATTCGCACAGTGAGATCAATGACAACTCCTTTCATATTCAGTGAAAAATGGCCTTTGTCCCTGTATTTGTTCTTTGAATCGAATGGAGTAAATGCCGCTTCTCACGGCATAAATACTGTTGATTTTCCCTTTCCGAGTACTCGTCAGGCAATCATCTGAACTTTCTTCTGTATCATCATAATGCTTCAATCTGCTCTTTACCGGATCCTGCGAATTTTCTTGGTTACCTTTGACTTCTGGTTCAACACCGATATCCCCACAGGCCAAGTCGAAAGGAGCGGTAAGCCCTCGCAATCAATTCCATCTAACAATCTGAAGACTTCGTCTAGTGCCCAACAAACCGAAATGCCAACTTCTGACTTAACCGAACTGTTAACCTGGGAGGATGTCTACAAAGAGGAGTGCCTTAGTTTCAAGGCCAATCTAGAGACCCAAGCTCGGATCCTGAGAAATACGAGTGAAGGAGTAGATCATATCAAGGATGTGCGCAATGAGCTAATCTCACTTTCCCATCAGGCAGAGCGAATCAAAGAGGCTGCATTTGAAATGGTCGACGAGACCCCGGACAGTGTATATGTCCAAAACGCAACTCCCGAGTGGCTATCTTCCCGATTTGGAGATCCACAGCTAGAACAGGTATGTATCAGCATGGAGTTCAGCTTGGACCGACTGGCATTTGAGCTTAGATCCGACCCGCCAATGGACCTTATGGTCGCCGGACACCTTGAGCAAATGACGGACGATATTGAAATGGACTTTCTTTAGATAGTGCCAATGCATTTATTCTTTTATTTTGTCACCTCTAATAGATCTTTCACGTTGTAATAAATAATAAAACTTGATATTATCAAAAGGGTCATTGCGTTGCTCCACAGCTTGAACGATTATCAAGGTCATAATAACTTTAGAAACTTACCAGTGGTAGGGCAGTATTGGCATGCTCGTAGTAGGCAGAGACACGTTTCGTGATTCTGGAGATCTCATTCACAAAACGGATTGAATATTGTGTTCTAAAGCTACCGAGGGTAGAATTCAGACGTTCCCAAATTCTCTATTCTCGCATTATTGGGGTCAGAACTCTTCACAGTTTGATCACAACCTTTCCCATGTGCTTCGCATTCCAAAGGTGATCGAACGCGGCCTGCGAATCTTCAAAGGAGAAAGTCACATTGTCAAGGACAGGCTTCAGGCTAATCTGCTTCTCAGACAGGAAGTCACAGAAGGCTTGATGGTCAGCCTTGGAGCCAACACTGATTCCCCTAAAGCACATGCGGTTAGCACATCTATGATCTTAAATGAAAGGGCCAACATACTTAATGGTGGCGCTCTTGTACAAAGTCGGGAGGACTGTATCTGGGAAGCTATCGACATCGAATCCACCCAAAAACCCGACCAAAGAAACCGTGCCCCTTCTGGCGAGAGAGGAGAGGCTTTGGGCAATGGTGGAAGGCCCAACGTTGTCGACGACAACATCGACACCTCGTCCGTTAGTAAGGCGACGTGCCTCCTCTTCCCATTTAGGCTGGTCTCGGTAGTTGATAGTATCGACAGCACCTGGGCCTCCAGTGGCCTTTGCCAGATCGAGCTTTTGGTGGGAGGATGAGGTGATAATTGGACGGATGCCAGCAGCCAAGCAGATCAGTAGACCGAACATGCTAACTCCACCAGTACCTGGGCGGCAAAAAAGGAAATTGTTAGAATAACTCATGGCGACTCAGAGGCAGACTCGGTTTTACCTTGGAGAAGAGCAGTTCCTTTAGATCGAGGCATTTCCAGTGCGTTCCACGCGGTTACTCCTGCGCAAGTGATACAAGCGGCCTGTCCAGAAATCAGCATGTTACGCACCACCATATTTTAGAGACGCTAACCTCTTCCCAAGAGAGATGCTTGGGCAAATGGAACAAGACGTTTCGGTCAAACACCGCATATTCGCGCAACACTCCATTGATATCCCCACCCAATACTGATCTCTCTTCTTCAGTGCCGTCGAGATTGTCCAAATCAAAGATAGGCGCAACTCGATCTCCGATTTGGAAATCGTGAACCTCAGATCCAATTCTGACGACCTCGGCGGCGCAATCAGACGCAGGGATGCATCGCTCGATGACCGGAACCGGGTATGTCCCGTGCATCGCTGCCACATCTCTGTAATTCAGGGACACAGCGTGGATGCGAATGAGTACCTCACTAGGCTTGAGAGAAGATGGAAGCTCTTCTGTGACGGCATCAAGTGTTTTCGGCGTGTTGCCCGTGCTGTGCCGGAAAGCTTTGTAGGTCTGGGGGAGGGCCATCGTAGTATAGGTTCTCAGCAAGAATGATTTGGATGATATTGAAACCTCGAGGCAGTGGTCGAATTTATAAATTTAAGAAATCAAGATACCTCTATACCCTGATTAATAACTGTGTTGTATCATCGGCGGCCACCCACCAGTATTCCACCGGTATCCCACCAGATCTCACCTGGGCAGCCGTTGAGTTCATTGATTATTATTAAGAATTGGCCAAGGCCCCGGGGTTTCTATTACATCTGCGAACTGCGAACCTTGAAACCCACTTTGCCCGAAGATCGGATTCTCTTCGCATTACTGTAGATTGCCGTTCTCGCTTCCTACACTCCGCCACTCGCGCCGGACAATCCACCGGACCCTCCCAACCTCAATTTGTTATTGTTGGATCATCCCATCCCCCATAGATGCGTTGTCTTTCAGACTGGACCTTTCTTGTTTGCCTGTTTGTTGCCCCCATAAAATTCCCCCTTTGATAGATTGAACGCAGCAGATTCTTCTTCCTGATTTTCCCAGTAGTCCAGTTGACTTAGCCACAATACAACAGTTATGCCCAGAGGCCTCCATGAGGACTTTTCTCGTGAGCTCCTCTATTGAGGATGCTGAGGGATAAGTCCGCTGCCTAGGATTTGGGGTGGTGGGAGGCTACGTGAAACAACGACAACTACTATCTAGCTGAAAACGGGCCGTTCGTTTGGGGCGATATCCAGCATGCGGTTACAAAGGCGGCTTTTGAGAATAACCCCATTCCCTGACCGGAGGTTGAGCAGCTGAATGACACGCAGATTATGGAGCTCGTTTCGGAGGCTTACTATGGTTTCTATGCTTGGGGTACGAATTCTTGGTCATGCTATTCGTGCCCGTAAGCTGTTTGGCTGGATGCCTACACAGCCAAAGACTATTGAGCTGATTCCGAGTATTGTTGAGTTGTTGAGCTTAAAGCGAAGGATTTGGGCCTGCTGCGAGTAGGTCAAGCAAGTTTCTATAGAATCATTATGAGCGGCGCGTATTGAGGTTCCTATCCATTTCAGGAGACTGTCGAACGCAGGGTCACTAAAGTACCGCAGTTTAATTTGACTACAACAAGTTATTTCCTACCTATTAGGTATCCGGGGCACACTCTCTTTGCTTGCGGCACACTTTAGCTATTCTACTTCGGGTATGTCCACCTCTGGCGGTGGTTTCTCAACTAAGCTGTGTAAATTGTTATAGTATCCCTATGGTATTTTTAGGATGTTTTCATACGTGCGTCATGCTCACACATCAACAGCCATAATAGTACTAGCAGTTTGGGAGCTTCACCTGATGTGACAATTAAGTAGATGGTTCGAGAAAGCGAAAAAGCCACCAGACTTCGAACCGTCAACTACGACAGCCGAAAGAGATCAGACTTTGATTGCGAGAAAATACATCGCCATGTACCGATCTCAGTACCACTTACTCGGTTCGAACCTGCTCCCCGTGTCTGCTTCGCGCTAGCAACCTCGTACCGGGTTGTCCAAGGCTCCCCAATGCGCCAGGAGCTTATCCAGTCAGATACATACTTCTTCCCTCCTCGCTTTTTTTTCTACCCGTCAGCTCAGCTCCATAGTGAGTACACATATTCATGCTCTTCGTATAGAATTATCGTTTTTTCAAGTTGCATTCACCAGAACTTTCAATGAATATGAATTTCCAAATAGGCCGACTTCCCTGACCCTTTTTCTTCTTCAGTTCTACCTAGGTACAATTGTAGTCTTATTAAGTGCGAAGAACATTAGCAAGAGCTTATAATCCATTTTTACTATGAATTAATCATTCAATGATGATTAGCAGCAAGTGTCGTATCTATAAATCGACAAAAGCGAAAGCTTTCAAAAAACAAACTGCCATTCTGCTGTAGAATCGTACCTAACTTCATCCACTCTTCCTTCAATAATTTTCAGTAACCTTTGAAGCCACCACCTGATTCATCAGCCAAAAATCATTAATGAGCGTATACAGTTCGTGTCCTCATGTAAACCATGCCTTTCCTCCAACTAAGCCAAAGTCCCAAGATAATATCCTTTCCTCCACGTCCGGCATCAAATAAATCCCACTCTGGATGTCCCGAGTATCAAATTTACTCCTGCTGACCACTGACAGCCTTGACATCCTTGTTCTGAGCCTGTTTCTGTCCGTTTTGGGGGTAGTTCTGGTAAGAGCCGTAGTTCTTGTAGTTACCATAGCTCTGGTACTCGCTGTCTGGGGAGCTGGGAGTAACCTGGGCGTTGTTGGCGGAGTTCAAGTTGTTGTAATCATTGGGTTCGTTGCGCTTCCAGTCGTTGTTGCCGTTGTTGCCGTTGCCATTGCCATTGTTGCCGTTCCCGTAGCTGCCTTTGTTTTGGTCATTGCCAGCGTCGCGCCAGCTACGGCGGTGGGGAGTGTGAGGGGCCGCAGCATTCAAGGGGTTGACTCCGTTGTTATTGACAGCTCCATTTAGATGACCGTTCCCGGCGGTAGCGTGGCTTGCCTGACCAGGGATAACATCACGCTTGTGGTCTGCGTGCCACTGGCCGTTGGCATCGGTCCAGCCATTCTGGTTGTTCTGACCATTTTGGTTGCCGGCGTGCCATTGGCCGTTCGCGTCAGTCCAGCCATTCTGATCGTTCTGGTCACCGGCGTGCCATTTTCCGTTGGCATCAGTCCAACCATTCTGGTCGTTCTGGTTACCGGCGTGCCATTGTCCGTTGGCATCAGTCCAGCCACCCTGGTTGTTCTGGTTGTCATTGGCCCCGTCACGAGGCTGGACAGCGCCATCGTTGGAGTGCCACTGGCCATTGGCATCAGTCCAACCATCCTGATCATTCTGATTACTGGAGCGCCATTGTCCGTTCGAATCAGTCCAGCCAGTCTGACCGTTCTGGCCGTTCTGAACGTTCTGGTTATTTGCATGCCACTGACCGTTGGCATCAGTCCAGCCATTCTGGTTGTTTTGCTGGCCGTGATTATATCGACCGTTCTGGTTGTTGTTGTCGCGCCACTGGCCATTCTGGTCGACCTGGCCGTTCTGGTTGTAGCGGTTGTCGCCGTTGTTGGGAACGAACACGCCATTCTGCCAGTGGCCCTTTCGATACTGTCCACTCGGGTCCCATTGACCGGCCACGTCGTTGGGGTCCACGGGAAGCGCGAGGACGGACATAGGGGAGACGGCCAAAAGAAGAAGGCTGTTGATGATGGAGTGGCGCATCTTGAAGGGAGGTGAACTCGACGAGCTCGAAACAAAGTATGGACGATAATTGCTTTCAGCGGTGCTATTGCGATCTTGAGGTTATCGAGATTGCTTCGTTGAGAATGATGATGGAAACCCCGTTAGTCTGCCTGTATTTATATTTCAGAAAGTCTAGCTCCAAGCTCGAGGATTATGCAGCGCAGAGCTCAACAGCTTTGGGGGCGTTTCGCAAGAATGTCTGAGGTCGGCTCACGCCATTCCTCCGTGAGGATTGATGGTCATTCACGCTGCAAGGGACACCGGGAAACGTGCATTTGATTATCATACTGCCTTGCGGGGGATAAGCGATTGGACGCACGATGATCTCAGTAGGCTGTAAACGAAGGAGTAGCACACGCAATACAAAATGCAACAATAAGTATTAAATCCTTCTTAGTGGAGGTTTGAAAAGTTTGCATGGTGAACCTCGCGTGAACCTGCACAATCTTGAAGATCCTGTCCGCAAGGGGAGTAGGCACATTCCCCGAAGATCACCCGCGGTCAAGTACTGCTGATCCTGTCTCGCTGGACAACCTAGACACGCTTACGCCATCTCAATGCATATGATGTTCTAAAGTTGTCTTCCACGTAGTTGACAACCCCTTGAGGCAACTCTCACGTTGTCCACGCACCACGCGTTGGGAGACTCATGGCGTGACAAAACGTGTGAGACATGCAGGGGACACGTTGCTTTGATCAGCAATGGCTATGAGCTTCAGGTTGATGTCAGTGTTGAAGCTGGGAAAGAAGTTGCGGTCTGGAGTTGAAGTCTGCTAATTACAGAAGCCAAGGCTGTTCTATTGCCCCTTGAACTGTCGGAGATCTATTTTGCGCAGTTTCGCTCCACAACTGGCTCAGCAAACCACTCCCAATTATCACAATGGATGCCCATGAAGATGATTCTAGACGGGAGTCTGGTGAACTACTTCTCGCAGAGGAAGACGGCACTCTATGGGGTGGAAAGGAAACATCAGCGCCCGCATGTAGCAGCTTTGCGGTGTGCCTCTTGCGGCTGGTTGCACTTGTCCTTCTATTCTTAGTCGGAACTCTCTTCGGCTTTCACTGGCGTGGTGACTTGGACGGCCTTTGTAGTCGACATGTCTCTCGATACTGTGAGAATCCCAAGCTTCTGTCGTGCTCATTAATCTCATTCAAATATAGCAACTATCATGAAGGAAGTTGGAATTCAATATAGCCTGCATGAATTCAATGGCTCTCTCCTGAAAGAGAATGTTTTCCGACAAGATGCAGGCCCAGAAGTTGACGCAGCATGGGAGTCCTTGGGCGCCAATTGTGTGTTTCCAATCATATTACTGCTCTCCGGCATGGGCTAATGACAATTCTTGCCTCCAGACCGCGGTGTTCGAATACCACCCGAAGACGCTGAACAGTCTGGACTTGCTACCGACCAAGTCAAGATCAATTCGAAGTATGGCGGAGGATTCCCTGCAAATGTTGAGGGCTTGCACCACCTTCACTGTCTGGTTAGTGGTCTACACCTCAATTCCATCTCTGTGAAGGCATACTAACACCGGCAAGAATCTCCTTCGTCAGTCACTCTATTATAACTACGACTACTACCACGCGGAGGGGGAAGGGGCCTTCACGAACAATGACTATATCGTCCGCCACCACGTGTGTATGTTTTTTTTTTTTTTTT